GGCGGTGCAATAATTCTGTAAAGGTATTGCATTCTCGCGAGGGAGGGAGGGGGTGCAATAATACTGTGAAGTTATAACATTCGCGCAAGGGAGGGAGGTGGTGCAATAATTCTGTGAAGTTATAACATTTGCGCGAGAGAGGGAGGCAGTGCAATAATTCTGTAAAGGTATTGCATTCCCACGAAGGAGGGAGGGGGTGCAATAATACTGTGAAGTTATAACATTCGCGCCAGAGAGGGAGGCGGTGCAATAATTCTGTGAAGTTATAACATTCACGCGAGGGATGGAGGCGGTGCAATAATTCTGTGAAGTTATAACATTCGCGCCAGGGAGGGAGGCGGTGCAATAATTCTGTGAAGTTATAATATTCACGCGAGGGATGGAGGGGGTGCAATAATACTGTGAAGTTATAACATTCACGCGAGGGATGGAGGCGGTGCAATAATTCTGTGAAGTTATAACATTCACGCGAGGGATGGAGGGGGTGCAATAATACTGTGAAGTTATAACATTCGCGCCAGGGAGGGAGGCGGTGCAATAATTCTGTGAAGTTATAACATTCACGCGAGGGATGGAGGCGGTGCAATAATTCTGTGAAGTTATAACATTCGCGCGAGGGATGGAGGCGGTGCAATAATTCTGTGAAGTTATAATATTCGTGCGAGGGAGGGAGGTTGCCATATGATTCGTAAATTATTACTATTAGTCTACCGTTATTGAATCGTGTACTCCGAGGTTTGGTGCAACAGATACTATGTCAAGGACAAATCGAATGCAGTTCAGTTTCGCTAATATTAATACCGTATTTCCGTAAACTCTCTTTGATGATTCAAAATAATGTAAATACTTAAGCCAAAACTACTCAGCACAAAAGGTTCAAATAACAATATTTTTTTAGAGTTGATCATGAAACAAATAAGTAGCAAATTTATAAAATGAACAGCAGTGCATGGTGTCGCTACGCCAAAAATGTTGTTTTCTTTAGCCTTTAGCTTGTTTGGAAAACTGTGATATACGAGTACAGTGGCTCATTTGTTAAATTTATAAATGAATCATAATTTTACCAAAAACTATACAGTTTTGCGAATAACGTCAGGTATACAGTTAACAAAATTAAGCATCTATAAAAAATGATTCACTTTATAAGTACCCCGAATATAGTTCCTGTCAACCTAATTGATCTATTATGATATTTTTACAAAAAACATTATAATTATTATTTTACTATGTTAAAAACGGGTGGGCTAGATGAACCGATTCGATAGGTGGACTGAACCCTTTCCAAATCACTTTATCGGGATGACTTAATAACGTTTGAACCGTATTTCTAGGTCCACTCCTGTGGTCTACCAGACCAACCCCGTCAAGACCATTGGGAAATTCTTGTACAGAAATTATTAAAAAAAATATCCTAAAGTATTCCAATTTACTGAGATGACAATAATTACCAATATTCCAATCTATTTACTGCACACCTCAAGGTGGTGCAACCCACTCTGAACATTCCCGCCATTTGCGATCGGTGACCATTCCCGCGCTATTTGAGAGTTGCGACCACCTTGACACCTATAACTAGGCCAGACACAACAGTAGGCGCCTGTTTTGGCAGTAAGAGTTACATATTCCCACATTCAGTGCGTGGCGCGTCCGTTACACCAGTGGCCCACATAACTAACCACCCAGCCTAGTTCCCTTACCTTCCTTACACGCTCGTCATGTCATACGCCATTCATACCACGTACCGCGTTCTGAGAGGTGTAGTGCTCGCCTTCATATCAGAAATCGCCGGTTCGACCCCAAAAGGGAGCAGTTCTGGATTTGTGTGTCATTTGTCATTGGGCTATCAATAATCAATGACGAATTTGTGCAACTGTGCAACTGTGCTGTCTGTGTGTTATAATCTGTATGATGGAAATTTTCTCCTGAGCCTTAGTCTACCTGAGTACTGACCAATGGTTAAGGACCGGGCCAGTCAAATCTGAGAGGACATATTAAAATCGAACTTTTGGAGACAGGGTCCATCATACAGACTAGAATTGTTTTAGTTAGCAAGTTAATGTAGTATAAGATGACAACTACATGAATAAAGTCACTACACTTTAGTTTTGACCCTCTGACCTGTAAACATCGAAGTTTACTTCTGACGTATTTACGTAGTAATTTAAGATTTATATTGCGATTCATGTTTCATTAATTCGCTAAGAAATTGAAAATCCAACAAAGGCAACGGAGACAGGAAACAATAAGTTCCTACCCATTTCCAGCTTTCACAATTTTAGGAATTAATCCTGATTAAATGCGTTTACAAAATCATTCAGCTCGAGGAGACAAACAACCTATAATAGTACTCAATGATGACAGTTATTTTGCTTTAAATCAGTTATTGCAAAAGTTAAGAATGTATTTACTAGTATTTTAGTAGTTAACATATATGGAATGTCAAAGAACAGATTACGTTTGTAAAGGCCTTGCCTCATCTCTTGGTCGGAAAGCGTCCACCGACCACCACCGCAACTCACAAACAAAAAGATCACATTAACAACAGTAAGGAAGCCACAAAGACACAAGCGAATATAATGAACATAATTAAACTGCTATCAACTGGATAAAACCACAAAAGTGTACGCGGAAGACACGTCTAGTTATATAAGAAGAAACAACCCCCTCTACGTAGAGCTACGTGCAGACTGCAGACCATCCAGTTGTTATATTTGCCAAAACCTTTCCTCACGTAGTTAACCTTGCATTTGCACAACTTCCCGTTACGAGGGAAGAAACATATTCTGGACAGGGAGTTACTTATGTCACTGTGCACTTTGGCCTCAGCGGTGTGTGAAATTGCCTTTCTCTAAAGCATGTTCCTTTCTTTCACTTGTCTTGAGTTTTGGCCAACACACGGCAATCTGCACCGAATTGAGTAATGCTCAATCTGACGGTAGTTTTGTACATTATTTCACGTCACTTTCTTCGGCGGTATCACGTAAAGGACATAACAGTTTGATTTCTCTAGCCGCAACGAAATACGTCAAACCACTTCGATGACGGTCAATTTATAGAGAGAAATGTGCATTCCTAAAAAGGCTGGTGAAACGGAAAGTGAAATTTGATGACAACGAGACATTTTATTTTAAATGCCAAGGTCATTTCGGATACTAACACTCTCATTTTGACATAAGTAGTAAAATTCAAATTCAAAGTAACTTGGAAAACCCGTGCAAATGTCAAATTAATTTCATAATACATTTTCCTAGATTTACGAGTAAAAAACAATATAAACCTTTCAGAATAAATTATTGTAATAAAGTCATATAAAGTATTCTTATATTCTTTCCTACTAATCAGAATCAGAAATTTGTATTGCCATAAACACAGCCATAAATACATAAATATGCCATTAAATACATAAATACCATAAGGTACATGGCAAAAGTCACTAAAACTAAACAGTAATTCCATTAGCTACCCTAAATTTTCATTATGATGTAACAATATACAGCCTGTCAGAAGTCTCTAACTCCCACTCCGATGCGGCCGGGCAGAAACGGCCAAAAACAATGTCGTTCCCAAGCGTAAACCTTGCGGTACCGCGCAGATAGCGTCGACCAAATACCGGTACGGTCGTCAGCCGGGATTATCCGGCCGAACGCCAAACTACGGCTGACCGGACAAATCTATTGCACGGTTTTTACGGAAATTGTGAATGCCGTAGTCATGCGTGGCTAACTCGACTGCACGAACCTTGCATTCCCATACACACTATAGTGTCGGATGTCCAGACGGTCTGGGCTGTAGGCACGTCCGTAATTGTCAGCAGAATCCGTCCGTTAGATTTTCACTTTCGGCACTTTAGACGTGATCCGATTATAGGGATTCCATTTATAGTTATGACTCGGACTTTGGATATCGGTCAGGAGCTGTAAATAGATTAAATTTGGAGGCCTGACAGTATTGGGACATTTATGGACTCGTCGAACAAAAATTTACGGCACAGTGTTATTTGTTTTGACAGTCCGAAACTGTTTGGAATGCCTACTTTTGGTTTTGACACTTGTCAAGTCTTGGTCTTCAGATGTTTATGTCTTTGAATTGGTGAAAATACTGGCCCTAGTGTCAGATGTGTTGTAGCAATTCACCTCGAACGCAACACAAGTCAGTTGAATTGTAGCTTGCCAGGAAATGGATTTCTGCTAAAACATCAGCCCGTATTTTCAACAGTTCAAAGACACAGCCATCTTCTGAGAAGCGTACTTTGTAATTCAAGAAATTACCAAATTTGATAAGATGTACGTCTTGAAATCCACACATTTTCAATTAAAGCAGATTGTACTACATTTCCTCGAAACGATCTTAGCCAAAAAAATTACGATGAAACATGAATGAATTGAAACAGGCCGCACTCTCTACAATCTGCGTGGTAAGCAGATCACGTCAGCCTCCAAAACAGAGCAGACCCGTAATCTTTTTTCCGTAACCAATCATCATAGCAGTTGCATCTTGAAAAATGAACAAGCACTTCCTAACTTAGATAAACTGACTTCCCTGCTCTTCTTAATTTATTCAAGCATTTTAAGTATTGCCATTTTCTTGATCTATTCATTAAATTTGAATAAGGAGTATTTGATTCATTAATTTATGTTACTACTTAGGGGAAAAAGGAATTCAAAATTGAATTGAGAACCATACAGAGTGTCTCATATTATATACTTACAGATAGGAAATAGTTAATATGCTAATCTGAAATGTACACTGTTGACTTTGGATGCTAAAATTAGACTTTTCATCATATTTAATAGTAGGCAGGACTAATATTTGAGCCCTAACATTCCCGCCCGGTTTTGTTTTAGTGTACTGATGTAAACTATAAAATCTATCCTTCATTTCAAGGTGCATTTTACAGCAAGCAATTCTATGAGCCTCCTTTTAAAACAAAGTTGGAACACAAAGATGAAATGTCCACTCCAGTATCCAACGTAAACAGAACAATCCATGCAGGTACTCACCACAGAAGGGTATCCCCTCTGGTGTCCACTGGCCATCATTGCCGCACACCCTCCTGGAAGGACCTAGCAGCTCGAACCCTCTCTCGCACGTGTAGGTGGCCACAGTCCCGGGGGTCAGCGTTGTGTTGCTGAAGAACACTGAGGAGTGAGCCGGAGCTCCGGGGAACCCACAGGTTATCGCTCCTGTAACAGACAATGTAAACTATTAGACTTGCTGGGTTGATGAGTCATCAGAAGATACCAGTACCTTTTAGATGACACTTTTTATGTTTTAAAACTGGACTGCCTTTGATTATTGGTATTTTATAAATCGTTCCGGCTAAAGGACATTCTTTGGTCAGTCAGTAAGAAAGGTATAATCTCATTCAATCAACACAACCTATACTCATCCTCGCCTAGAAACACACGTTGAATCGGCGTCGTACAAGTTTGGCCTAATCTAGTGACCATTGCCAACCCAAGTCATTTTATAATACAACAATATAACTTTGCACACATCCATCACTAAACATCGATAGGAGTCAAATTGTTACAGAGGTAAAATTTGTAAATCATACAAATTCAGAAACAGTACCTACTACTATTACAATTTGAAAGGGCCTTAAAGTGGCACTGTGGTGTTTAAGGACGATTCCCCGATACTCCAATTTGATAGCAAGGTTTTTAAATTAGGCGATAAATGCATTTTTGTGCTCCTTGTGGCTGTCAACCTAAATACTTATTGAATATGGTGTTTATATTACATAATGCGTATGTGTAAGTGTTTTTTTTGTGTGAATACGTTTGTATGACAATTAAGAACATTACAAATCCACCTATCACGCTGGTTCTCTTCGTTTTGGTGGTTTTATTCTGTTGTGTCAAGATTTTTATCAGAAGGTTCTGCATACCTAATTTGCAGCAAATGTTTCTTAAACCAAACCAGTGACCTAAAGCTACGTAATATCGAGGACTCTCCGTCAAATTGTAGTTTTAAACGCTAGCCTTGAAAGCGTCAGTTATCATTTCAGAGTGATTGTCATCGTTAATAGCTCTTGATAAAAACTATAATCGAATATTCGCGTTTGGTCGGGTGGAAAAGAAAGCAACGAAAGTGGACGGTGGTCACCGGCGAAGTTCCGCATGAAGGTCCTTAGTTGTGGGATGTCCTCTAGAGTCAGTCACAAGAAAGTCTGCACTCTCTCTCATCTATGCACGTCATTCAATGCATAATCTAAATTAGGGCTTTCAAATATGCATTATGTCTTTTTTCATCAACAAACAGGAAAGCTAAGAAAGACGTTTTTTTTATCTAAGGTGATCTCGCTTCAAAAAGTCTTTTAAATTGTCTTTTTAACTGCCTTCAAACTTAACCCCAGTTTACGACAGCGACATGTCTTTGAATAAAATACGGACACAATTGACAAGGTGGGTTAAATACCGATGGGCAAAATACATGCACCATTTATTATATTTCTCGTATTAGTTCTCTTCCATTCTATTTAGTATTAGTTAGAAAATACCGTTACACCTAAGTTTTAAAGTTTTTTTTCATTACCTAGTGTAAAAATGGACATAATCACGTGTTGAAAAATTTCCCTTTTAGTACAAAAATACATTTTTTTTGTTATTTCAAATTAGAATACCTTTCACTTTGTTCGGTATTGCTATTGGCAATGTTGCACACTAAGCTTTACACAAAATGAAAGACTTGAGTCAAGTGTAGGGATAGAATTGAGATTTCAAAGTCAGTATTTGATAAATATTTTGGGGTTTCGCGGTAAAGTTTAGGGGTTGTACAAATTAAAAAAAAAGCTATTCCACTTCAATACAATATACACAACGCTTTCAATAGACGTCCAGTAAATTTAAGTCTAATGAGAAATTGATGGCACCACATCCAATCCCTAGGAATCTTTATTCAATCGGGACCAAATAACACTATTATTCGCCTCACATGGTCACACAAGCGCCAAACTATTTGTCAGGCCGGAACCGATTGTAACCTCAATTCTTTTAGAAACGGAATAACCTCAGAATGCCAAGAGGTTTTGCCGAGTAATGCTGGCAGACAGAATGAATCTGGGCGAAATGTCAGTTTGGAATTAATATTTGATTCTCGCTCTCCTAAATGTGAAAAGGCGCGGGCGTTTGTGTGTTAATTGTTGTGGAGGTGTTCAGAACATCAACATCAGCATCCGTCATGTTTTAAACTATGTCAGGATGAGAGAAAGTATGAATGTTTCACATGCTTGGGATGTTTTAATCCGTGGTAAAGGTTATAGAAATTAAGTAAGTTTTTTAGATCGTTTAAGAATTTTGTATGCCATTATTGTAAGTACTTGCTAAGCTTACTTACTCCTACTCCGGCAATTTGGTAGTGATTTCTGATTGCACCCTCCATATATTGTTCGCAACGATTTGTAAGACCGACAAGTTTTGTCATGGTGTGTAAACCGGCCTTTAGTCTTTTATGCATTTTAGACCCGTAATGTCAAAAAATGCTAGTTAACAAATGTGTGTATTAAATATGAAATTTGCACACCGGAAGATTTTCTAGCAGTTGGAGAACTTCACGCAATTCAATCCTAGGAAGTCTTCGAACGAGAGTTACAGCTGAAAAGGACAATGTCCTAGAACAGCTCCAGTGCACTGAAAAATCTTCTAAAGGAAACTTTCTGTTATACACTCTCATCCCAGACTCATGGCGAGTCTCTTAGAACAAACACAGCTAAACAAACAGAAATTAAACTTTCCAGGTTGGGGGTCAACAACTACTAGCAAACAAATCGCATATTCAATCGCACCTCTATAAACCAATATAACTGCAGTATCGATGGGAGAGGCACGAAGATCGTGACTTTGAACTTGAGGGGGGTCAAGGACTGATTGCGAACCTGTGGAAGAAAGTACCCGAGCTATTAGCGGCATCCTGCCTCTTAGTGTATTTATATCTGGCTAAGTACTTGGAAAAAAAATTGAAGAGGTAAGAGTTGTAGAACTCCAATTCAATGAGTTATAAATTGTTAATTTTCGTCCAATGTTGTTTTTAAGTCAAGTTTGGCGTTGAGATTGGTGAATCAACGGCGATGGATCAGTTGAACAACTGGGCGTATTTAATTTATAAAAAAAATTATTGCAATGTAAAGCAAAATCAGCTCACGTTTCTAGTTAGACGGGATCGCTGATGTATGTATAGATAGCGTATATTGCGTCTATTTGTGTTCTCCCGTATACTCTATACTATCATAATGTAATAGCTAACTTTTCTGCTTTCGTTATTGGACATGGAGTGCGATTGCATATTGTTTTTATATATCCTATTCTTCTAGCAAGCCGCAAACTGAAACTGTTTCCTTTAAAAATTTAAAAAATCACTAAACAGCCTCTCGTCTGCATTAAAGTGGTTTTTCATAAGTATTTTAAAATATCCTTCCTCACTTCTCTTTTTGAAAACACTGTGAGTACACAATCGAGTTTCACTAAAGGTCCAGAATATCCTCGTTTTCCATCTCTTCGATCAACAGGATCTTCAAAACTTTGCTCTTAACACCCATAGTGGGAGCAAACTACATTTTAACACAGTCAGCAACCAACTGTTGAACTGAATAGACGCGTTCTTGGACAACGTACCTTTATACTGTAACCAAAGTGTTCGAAATGCTTACTAACCCTAAAGTATAACTTGAAAAGTTGGAAACCAAACTTGGAAGTTTGGTTAAATGCCTTGAAAGTCTTGCATAATATTAAATGGAAGATTCGGTGACAAAAAACGAGAGGGAAAATCATAGGTAATCTTATTTAATGATCACAAACAAACTATGGAAAACTTGGAGAACCACTCAGCAGAAAATGCTAAGAAATGCCGTGATTATGTTATATTGTTTAGCATTATATTTATTCAGTTGAGCAATTACACTAAAAGAATTACTCCGAGTAAGCTAATACATTGAACATCTTTCGCCTGGAAATGCATAAATTGAACTGACGTGCTTGGACCTAAAGTCCTCACCACATGAATCGAGGATTGGAACGTAGGGAGAAATTGTATCAAGCAAACAAACATTAAATTTTCTCAGATTTCCTAACCCCTTTGACTCATTTCAAAATGGACATTCTTGCATTTTATCTTCGTAAGCGTACCAAAGTCAGCTGTTCTTAGAGCGATACCGCCTCTAGCCCACCAGATGACCGGAGGATTACCCGCCATAAAATGTCGCTCACACGGCCGCTGCCCTGAGTGATCAGCAGGTAATGTCACGTGGTCATCAACATGTGGCGAGTGGAAGATGTGAAGATGATGAAGAAGTACTCGTGTGGAAGACAAGATTAAACGAGACCATTTCACTGATCTGCGGTCAGTCACCTCCATTGAGGTTTGATCTGTATCAAATTGCCTGCAGCGACTCCAAAAGTGTTTTACAGCGTTTTGCTTCAACAATTGAATTACTGATATCAGTTCGCATTATAGTTTAACCAAGGTAACTCACAGAAGTTTACCTCTCTTTATGAGCATTTGAGTAAGTTTCCGAAAGAACACTATTCATCTTGAAGTATACGTCCCTTTACCATGATAAATCTGAAGTCATTTTTAGAATCGAAGTTCTGTGGTTGAATTAAAACACCGACAGAGTGCATTGATGTGAATTACATAGCCAATTTCTGCCAAATATGCAAACGTTTTAACCAAGCATTAAAACTTTTTATTATAAACTGTAGCATGTTTCATGTCATATCAAATATAATAGTACCAAAAATTAAAGGAGGAAATCGAATGTTGGCATTAGCGCAGTATGTGAGTGGCTCATTCTAATATATTGTATTCGATTACAATATTAGCTTTAGTTAGTCCATATAGTTGGATACCTCATTTGGTATTGAAAAGTTAATAGTAAAAGTAACAGGTTATGTATCCGAAGAGTACTTCTTCCCTACAAGATACCAGCTCTAAAATGCATGAAGTATAAACTTTCTGAAGATTTATAACATAAATTTAAGTAATATTGATATAATTTACTAGTTATTCAAAATAACAACATCCTGTTAATTTTCTGCCAAAGGCTTTCACTCTTTGAACACAGTCACACCTATGCACGTACAGGGTTTCTCCTAACTTTCCTGGGATCGGTCCCGTGCCCAAAGAACGTTCCCTATTAATTCGGGTATTGACACAGGATGAAAGTAACAATCAATATTCAAAGCAC